TCTGTCTTTACTACTACCAGCAAAATGAGAAGCCTTTTAAAGTTGCGATGAAGAACATTTGAAGACAAGAAACCATGTCATTAGCTGGTAAGTAGTAACATACATGTTGTTTTGGGCAACAAAAAAACCCGGTTTTGAGTTGGGAAATTTCAATCATTTTAATTTATTATCAAGTAATATAACTGTGTAATTATTTTGTTGTTATTAAGAAACAATAAAAAATAAACACTTGGCAAACCCCACCTCAACTCCCCTCTGCACACCCCTCCTCCTTATTTATTTCTAATAAATCCTTAAAGTTTGAGCCAAATTTGGGAATCACTTCTCGTAGCAGTGTACCCAGAAATGTTCTTAACCTTTGTTGTTAGGTATCCAAATGTTATGTAATATTCCAATCAACTAGTAGTGTGTTTAAGTTGAATGTTTTAAATATAATGATTCATCTGTTAAAAATGCTCTTCTTAATATATTGAAATAACAGCACTGTTCATTAGGGTGCACATTTGTTAACAGTGAATAGATGGAGTAAACGATACCACAAAGGCCTTGGGACAGGAATATCAGTGATCTACACCCTTCGCGTGCTAGGTGATCTTGGACAAGTGGTTCTCCTCTGCTTGCCTCACTTTCCACTGAAAAATTGGATGTTTCTACTTATTTCTATATTCATTTTGAGATATATTCATTAAAAACAGTGCTTAATACTTGAGTGATGGTAAAATGCCAAATGCCACTCAGACACACAGGAGGCTGGAAGGGCAGAAGCAAGTTTGCTGGGACTGTCAGCTGGAGGAGACATGGTGTTTTCAGAGCCGATCGCTGGCCTGAAAGATCTTCTCACTGCCTTGAGGACACTCCAGGCCCAGCTGACATCGCTCACTAGGACCATTCTTGCTACCTCCTTCTGAATGGCTGCATCTGCCTCATCACCTTCCTCAGGTGAACCCAGGTCAGCCCTGGATGAAGAAGGCTGGGAGTGAAAAACAGTTGGCAGAGCAGGGCACTAGCAGAGACAGCGGTCCACAATGGCAGGGGAGCAGTGGCAGCCAGGGAGGTGTTGCTGCAATGCCATGGCAGTGGTTGCATAAATTAAAAGGCTGATGGGCAAAATACCTGACCCTGCAAAGTTAAAGCGGGAGTTTTCAAAAGAGAAGGGCGCACTACCTTCTCCTGTGAGTAGCTGTGGGGGCCAGGGGCTAGGCTCCAGGGTGGATGCTCCATCATTGGAGGGAAGGGCAGTTTCGGGGGTCCTCCCTCATTGCACCACCACGGACGCAGATGCAGGGGTGCTCAGCCCATGGCAAACCTGCGCGCCCCAGCTGCTCGTCACCTGGAGTGAGGGGGGTGAGCGGTGGGGCGAATGCGCAGCCAACACGCAAGCCTTCCAGCTTCTGTAGCACCTTTTAAAATGTTTTCTGCTTCTCACACCACAAAACCTCCTGGGAGGTAAACAGACCCTTCCAGTGTAGAAAAAAGCCATTTCTCCTTTTAAATACTGGAGAAAAAAACAACACTTGAGGGGAAGGAGGATAAAGATGATGCCTAGGGACCTCTGCTGCAGGTACTTCTGTGCACGGCTGAAACCCGCAGCTCTCCACACAGGCACGACAGCTTTCTCACACGGAGCGCATTGCAGGCATGAGGCTTATGATCCCGGCATGGAACTGTCGCAATCAAGCCCTGCGTTCTTCCTGACTTGGGCTGAGTGGCCGGAAAGAGGCTGAAGGAGAGTTGTGGTTGAAGAAGATCTTCTCAGAGAAGTGGGTTTGCTTCCATCTGTGCAGGGTGCCAACCTTGGGAAAGCAAGGGGCATGAAAGGCGTTCAGCCCTTGGCCCCTTCAGTGTGGTCAAGTTGTTCCTATGGGAGTCTGCAGCTCTGTGACAATGGGACCTGCAGGGACAATAAAACGACAACTGCCACCACGTCAACACACAAGGACTAGTGCATCTGCTCATGGCTTAACCTGATTTCTGTTTAAATCTGGAAAACCGTCCGTCTCAATCCTTACGGTGGGTTCAGACCCACCGGGTGATTTCCCCTGCTGGCATCAGCTACTGCAAAACCCGAACCCCTCTGAGGATGTTGTGCAGGGTCTCCGTGTGGAAGCTGAAGGGGGAGAGATGAGCCCAAGGCGGAAGCTGGTGGAAGATCTGCCGACGGCAGCAACAGGCGGGCGGCACGGCAAGGGCAGGGGAGGGTCAGAGCCTCCATCAGGCGACTGAGGGAGGAAGAGGCGATGTGGGGAGAGGTGTGTGTGGCCGTGGCGGTGTGGGATTTGGAGGCGAGGGCCAGGTCAGTCCTGTGAAGTAAGCGAGGGACGAGGGGAGGGGGTGAAGGAGGGGACAGCAGAAGGCAGATGATGCTGCCACAGGCGTTTTGATGAACTGGGGAGGCAGAAGGCGAGATGGAGGCAAAGATCGAGCAATTTGTGTGGGACTGGGAACAGAGTTCAGTCTGCAGTGACGCTTCGCACGCCCGGCAGAGAACGGGGGGCTGCTGGAAACCACTCAACCCCTCTCCTTTCATTCCCTACCTAACCTCAGGCCGGCTTATGTCCCCCGACCCGGCCGCCC